GAAACTAAGGACTTTGAAGAAGTCTGGAATTGCCCAATTCACTGGTGTTTTTCTGTTCTATACCTACATTTATCAGCGGGAGGAGAGCTTTGCTGTCCATGTAAATGATAGAGAATCTTTCTTAGCTGTAGTTATGCAAGAGTCACAAGGGTTTGGGATGATAAATGTAGCCTGATGAGCTGGGACAATGTCCAGAGAGCCAGAAATCATGGGTGCAGAGAAATTCTAGGTTGTAAAGGACCTCAGAAGTTGTCTTCTGTGTAGTACAAAGCCCTGGATTTGGGGCTAGAGGCTGGCTTTGAATCCTAGCCCTGCTTCCTTACTTGTATGAGATCCTCCTCTTTCATTGACCCTCTCAGGGCCTCTTTCATGAACCCCAACAAGGAGGTTGAACTAAATGACCTTTAAAGGTCCCTTCCAGCTAAATCTAGAATTCTGGTCCACAATATTCTCCTTCTGCCATATCTTTCCCTAGAATGAGGTGGTAAAGGGTAAGATGCTAGACCTGGAGTTAAGAAGACCTATGTTCTGGGGCAGTTAGGTGGTGCAGTAGATAGAGTACCAGCCCTGGAGTCAGGAGGAACTGAGTTCAAATCCGGTCTCAGACCAGATACCTGATACTTACTAGCTGTGTGAAACTGGGCTGTCACTTAACCCCAATTGCCTTGCAGAAGAAAAAAGAAGGCCTACATTCAAATCTGGCCTGAGACAATTACTAGTTGTGTGACCCTCAGCAAATCGATTAACTTCTCTCCACTTGTCTCAGGTTTCCTACTCTCCTTCTTTGCAAAGGTGGGGGGTACCATGGGTGTGAATACATCATGGAATTCCAGAGGAGCTCTATGTATTTATTGGCCAGGTTTAATTGCTTTTTTCCTCCTCCTTTTCAAATCTATGTTACAAGCTGTGGATTTCTGGATAGGGTAGGAGGAGAAATACATTCAGAAGTGACTATAATGTGAAAAAGACAACAATAATAATAATGACAATGAGGAGGAGGAGGACAAAGAGGAAAAAAAAGTTCAAATTGGGGCCATGGTGTGTATTATCTGTGTGATCTTGTAAAAGTCACTGAGCTTTTCTCAGTTTCTTCATCTGTAAAACAGAGTCTAGACAAACTTTGATCTTATCCTTCCCTGTCTCTGTTCCAGGAGGCTTACAAGTTGCCCTTTCTCCTTTCCTTTCAGAGATATTATGAGGACAAGGCAATGATACATAAAATGCCTTCAGTTGTCTCAAAAGAGAACTGGCCCATTCCTTCAGATTGCAATCAGCATCAGCTGAACTCCAAGTGCCTCTGGTGACCTGTGGACTGATGGAGCAGAACGCTGTCCTCAGGGGCCTGGCTGGTTCTGTTCTGATTGTCCTATGGTTCTCTTCATTGTTTTTGGCATCAGCCCTTCTCATAATGAGATCCTTTGGTCCTGACCTTTCCGTAGCATTCAAGCTAGCATAAAGTACTTCATGGAGACATACTGCTAGGTAATAAAAACAAATATGGCCCATTTAATTTGCTGGAGCTCTCTTCCTCCTTCCTTATTGAAACATGCAATTTGATTTTTCTCCTATAAAATCCATTCCTATTATTCAGCCTTGTTATCTGTTCTTATCCTGAAAGGATTAGCTCGAGTTTGACAGGATCCATGCTCTATTCCTTGGATTATAAAGTACAGCTTAATTACTTTAATTTTGGTACTTTGCCTATGACAGAGGCCAGGATAGAAGAAGGGCCTCAAGGCAATGAGGACAGGGAACACTAGATTGTCACCTCAGTAGCAAGACCAGGGTTTTCTTTTTGGTCAGAGAATTTTGTTGACTACGTCAGGATACCAGCCCTTTGATGAACATAGTAGGATGTCAGCTTTTGGGGGGCAGAAACTGTTACATTTCCTTTTTATTGTCCTTGTATCCCCAAGATTTAGAATAGTTCCAGGTACACAGTTGGTGTTTAATAAATGTTGAACTAATTTTTGGATTTAACTGAAAGTGGAAGTGTCTGGAGTGACACTGAGTTGAACTGGTGTTAGTTAACATCGATCTCATTATCTAAAAATTGCTGATTCTTCAATTGGCTAAGTAAGCAACACTTCTAATGGTAAGGTCATTGTCTTAGAATGGTGTTGTGATAGAAAGTCAAGATGTACTGTGTTGGGACATAGGTGCCTTAGAGTGAATCTTGGCTCTGTTCGTGTCACTTCGTGTCACAATGCTTGCCTCTAGGTCTACCTCACAGAGTTGTCATGAGGCTCAAAATAGATAACAGAGTAAAAATCGGTATGTAAGTATAAAACATTTATAATATCTGAGTAAAAACCTATCTATAGATACAAAATCTAACATCTGAAGAGTAAAACCCAAGCATAAATATAACATATTACTATTAATATCCTAGGTTTGACCATCCTATGGGTCACTTTTGCTAGTAATGGATTTATGCGTGAAGTAGGATAAGGATCACGGTCCTCAAAGGGTACAGCATGGTCAACAATCTGAGGGTTCCAGTAGGATTAGGGTGACTTCTGTCATGCTGTATTTGGGCATATTGGGTTTTCAATTGGAAATCCATTAAATAAGGCAATAGATAAACAGTCTATTGAAATATATCCAGTAGGGCAATAGGTAAGTGGTATATTAGAATTGCCTTCACTGTTTACTGTGGGTACCTTAATCCTGGCTGGATTATGTTCTAAGGAAAGAATGTGGGGGTGGCAGGGAACAACTTTACATACTTAGGGAAGACATTCAATATTCTATGAACTCCTGCAAGGAAGAGCAGAACTCAAATGGGTTGGTTTATTAGCTCCCCTGGTGGTCTGTTAACCCAACAGTGAATGAAGCTATACCCAAAACTTACATCCTGAAGTGCCCAAGTTGCTGTGAATCCTCAGGGACCATGGCATTATGAGACTTAACAAGCAAAAGCTAGCAAGGTCATTTACTAAGCTGTATGGCCACACACTGGCCTATAACCTTGTGGTCAAGGGGAAACTGTGATCCTACCATCCTTCCATTCACCCAAGTCTACAACCTAGGAATTATAGTTCTCTCTTGCCTCCTTCTCACCTTCCATATCCAAAAAGCTACAGAGAATGTTGATTCTGGCTTCATAAGAGTTCTCATATCAATCTTCTTCTCTCAACTCATATGACCCCTACTTGAACCAGTGCAATAGCCTTCTTGTGGGTCTCCCTGATTCCCACCTCTTCCCCCTTCAATTTCTTCCCCTTAAAGCTGCCAAACTGAGATTCCTAAAACACAAACCCAACTCTGCCATTTCTTTAGAATAACATTCTGCTAGATAATATCTACCAGCTGCAGCCTTGTGGAGCAAATTCAAAATGCTCAGCCCAGTATTTAAAGGCTTCCACAACCCGGCTCCCACCTCACTTTCCCTTTTTCTTACAGATTATATTGCTTCTCTGACTGCATCCCAGCCAAATAGGCCTGCTGGCTGTTTTTTATATACAACATTCCATGTGATCCCCTATATCTAAGGCATCCTTCCTCCTCACTTCTACTTACAAATCCAGAGCCACATCCTTCCTATATGAGATCCTTACTGATCCATCTAGTGGTCTCTTACTCTCAGCATTGCTTTGTTTCTTTCGGAATTTATTTATCTGTAAATAGGGTGTTTTATTCTCCCCCTTCCTCTTTAGTAAGCTCCTTGAAGTCAAGGCTTGTCCCATGTATCCCCACGTCTTTATACCCCCAACACCTATCACAGACTTTGGTCAGAGCAGCCATTTAACAAATAGTTACTGATTTAAATTCAACTTCTTTCAGACTTAAATAATTGTGAAAAGTAACATTTGTTCAAGAGCACGTCTAACTGGAATAGAAAACTACTTATATTCCCTCTTTCCCTGCTGTCCACATAAAGCTCCTCCTGTTGCTCAAAGTCTAGTGCCATGCCTGGCACAGGGTCAGCCTTTAATTGAAGTGAATAAAATTATCCCTCCTGTCACTATGAGAGGGAACATGAAGCATCCTCCCACAAGACCTCCATCCAGCAGGATGCAGAAGAAGCCTCTCTAATGGCCACTTCTGACCTATGGGCAAGCTACACGGTCACATGAATGGAGAATCTGATTAATTAAACAATTCTGGAATGCTTCTGTCACCAAACATGTTGAAAATGGCTCAGAGTTTCCTACCGATAGCATTCTAAGCAAACCACATCAGTAGGGGAGTGAGAGAAGTAGAACTGGCTCACCAGCTCATTATCGCATTATCTGGTCTTGATTAGATGCACTCTTAGTCCTTGACTTTATTTTATTGCTGATTCGCTGTTTTTCAATCATGCCAGTTTCCACTTGAAGTTATCATTGGAAAATGACTTTTAAAACAACGACAACAACGAAATTGTGCTTTTAATTTAAATGCCAATTACCATAACAGAAATGGGCAAGCTTGAGTTTTTTAAGGTTGATGATTGAGGGCACCTCATGAACATGCTGCCTATTAAAAACATCTCTGCTGTCTATTCTACAGAATCTCCTGGAGAATGAGCACACAAGAAGAGACAGTAATCTGAGCCCCGATTTGTCCCAATGTGGATTAAAATTAATAGCGTTTATATGAGCACTTTTGAGGTTTGCAAAGCACTTCACATATCTTATCTCTTACGATCTTCACAACCTTGGGAAGTAGGTGTGATTTTCATCCCCATTTTGTTGTTGTTCAGTTGTTTCCAGCATGTGTGACTCTTTGTGACCCCCATTTGGGGTTTTCTTGGCAGAGATATTGGAGTGGTTTGCCATTTTCTTCTACAATTCATTTTACAGATGTGGAACACAACAGCAACTGTGCTACTTAGCTGCCCCCATTTTACAGATGAAGAAACTGAGGCAGGCAGAGGTTAAGTAATTTGCCCAGGATCACATAGCTAGTGAGGCAGAATTTTTACTCATCTTCCCAGAACTCCTTCCACTATGCCACCCTAGCTGCCACAATCATGCAGATTTATGTTGAATATTAAAAAATCAACATATATTTACCTCTTTATATATGGCAGTGCATTCATAGTAGTCACGTGATGGCAGGCCAAGTCGAGGCTGATCAATCTGTTAAAAAATACAGAAAAACAAACCATTCCAATACTATTGGACACCACATTTTGACAAAAACATTCTTGCCTATCTGTGAGCTTGGTTTTTTCCATAATAACAACATTGTACCTATACAGAGCAAAGAGTAGAGGTTGCCAAAAGTCAAATCTTGGCTTGATGTCATAGGACCATAGATTTGGGGTTGGAAGAGACTTTAGAGGTCATTTAGGCCACCCCCTCCACTTTAGAGATGAGTAATCCAAGGCCCAGAGAGATCGCATGATTGCCCAAGGTCATACAACTAGTAAGAGGCTGAGCCAGGATCTGAACACATCCTTTCACCCCAAATCCAGCTCATTTTCCCAAGATGCCCCACAGCATAGTGGATAATCTCATGAAGTGGAGAGTTCCTGTTCACTCATGTTTACTTCTTGGGCATGTTTCTCAGGACATTTGTTTTTCATGTAGAAGTTAGAAGTCTCTGAGGTTCCTCCCTACTTTTAAATTCAATGATTCCATATTAATGTGGCACTGGAATAGACCAAGGTGCTCAATGACAGACTCACAGAATCTCAACCCTGGAAGGTGCTACAGAGACCACTAATACAACCTGTACCTGAGAAATGAGCTGTGCTGCAACACACCCAATTACCACCATCCAGTTTTCATTTGAAGTCCTCTAGTGATGGAAAGCCCAGTAGCTCCCAAAGCAGCCTGTTCTGCATTTGAAGAGCTCAAATGCTTAGGAAGCTGTTGACTGTCTCAAGACAACATCTATGTCTCTGTGGCTTCCACCCCAGCTTGCCCCTCATTCCACCCTTTGGGGCAAAGCAGAGCAAGTCTAATTGCTCATCGAAGTAATGGCCTAACAACCATCTAAATATCTGAAGACCACCATCACATCCCCCATTTATGAATTATGCTACAGGTATCTTTGAAGCACAGGGAAGGAGAGCTACCTTAGATTGTCTGAAGAGACAAACATGGCACCTCTAGCACTTTTGGGGGTGGAGGGTTGAGATTCTTGGTGGTAATCTCAATGGAAATCTTTGGGGAGATCCCTCTAAGTTTACTTCTATGGCAAAAAGGAAAGAATGGAAATTGCTGCTCTCTTTTATAGCCATCATTACTAGTGCCAGGTTGTGGTGCCCTAATAGGAGAGTGGAGAAAGCAGCTAACCTCCCATATAGCACTAACCTGGATGATCCCCTATTACTCACAAACTAAGAGTTGTTTTCGTAGTCTGATGTAGTCTGAAAGAGTCAATGATGCTACCTTTCACCTGTCTCCCTATGGTGAAGTATAGAATTAGAAAAAACAAGCCCGTTTATGTGATCTAGCTACAATTCATATGATCACTGCACCTACACAGGGCCCAGAGCCTATATTCCTATGCAGAGATGATGGTGGGGACAAGACAGGTAGGATACTGGTAGAGGGCCTACCTACATGAGATTTTCCAAATTTCATCCACCAAATGTCCAATATGCCTGCCCTCTCAAAGTGCCTATGTAGGGCTTTGCCTCCAGAGCAAAAAAAAGAGTTTTGGGGAGAGGGGGTTGTTAAGGAAAATGTCATGAGCTCATCAAATTTAGAACTGAAAGTAGCCTGAGACATTGTTGAATCCAATCCCTCCTCCCCTTCATGAGAAAACTCATAACCTGAGAAGGGAAGAGGTTTCCAGAGCAAGTCGGGGAATGGCAGAGACAGAATTCAAACATACAACCTCCAAATCCAGACCATTCTGCCTCTCTTCCCTCTGTTCCCAAGAAGGACCACTGCTAGAAATGAAACACTGATGCTATCTATTTTATAGCATTGAAGAATTGACACAGAGACAGAATTGGGAACCACTAATATCCATGAAGTCAATCATATGTAACTATGTAAGAACTACGGGATTGGAAAAAGGATCAAGAAACTAGAATGAATTCTACCCACAAGCATTTATTGAGCACCTACTAAGTTCAAAGTACGGCTTAAGGTGCTAGACATACAGATACCAAAATGAGATGGCAAATTTCTGATCTCAAGAAGCTCACACTTTAATAGAGCAAGAATTTTTAACCTCACTCTACCCATCTGAAGTTTAGCAAGTTCATGGAGTTTGATTCAAAGGCATGAAGGTGGGAGAGCTAACACTGTGCATGAGAATCAGGTAGTAAGCCAATCTGGCTGTTGTGTAGACTGCAGGAAGGTTAAGATAATGTATAATTAGCCTGGCAAAGAATCTGAAGGTCTCTGGACCATGACTCCAGAATGCTTTCTTTTGCTTTGTTTGTAGATCTTCGATACAAAACCCTTTCTGAAGTTTCTAGGCTTGACCTAAAAAGTTCTCAAGAAATAAATGTTTTGCATCTTCTATCAGATTCATGAATTTCAACAGCAGCAGGCCAGGGTGCAATATTCAATCATTTATAGCAGCTACAGCGTGACATTTTGGTTACACGATTCAAAGGGCACTGCAGCTTTTTCTGTGGAGTGAGGAAAAATTGAGTCCCAAATCTCTTCGTGGAAGACCCTCACTGTCTTCTTCTATTTTATTTATGAAAAGGAGCCTGTATTCTTTGCATGAGCATATTGGTAAGTCACCTTATTTTCTATTCTTTCCAGCACACCATTCTTTCATTTTCTGTGAATCAGCATTATGAACATTGGGGAGGGGAGGGCAAAGAGGAAATGTTTACAAAATAAATGATTAAAGAAACCATTTTCTCATGAGAATGCCATATATTCTGGATAACATATGGATGTATGACTGTCTTGCTCACAAAATTTGAATGAGCAAATACTATATTTCTAGATACCAATGAGATCAATGAGTAGGTAAGCTTTATTGCATTTTCAAGAAAGCTTTAGGCTGTGCCAGTAATGGGCAACTTACGTGAATAATATGCCTCATGGAGTTCTTATCATCTGTGCCAATGAAAAGATTGATTAGGACTTTTTTCCCAAAATTTGAGTTCAACTCTGCAATAGATTTTTCAGCAGTCCAAGAAGTACCTAAGGTGTTGAAGGCAAAGTCAGGCTTTTAAACACATATATATGGAAAGTAGAGATTAATGTGAAATTTTTTTTTGAATTTGGTAATAAACATATGTTATGCACCAACTGCCTTACCATATACTGTTTCCCAGTTGTCCATTGCTACTGGCCATTCATGGATCTCTGGTAAGAGTTTTAGCAAAGGTTCACCACCTCTGCTATCAATCACAGCTTTGGGAAAGAGGGAAGAAAGAAGAACTCAATAGGGAGTCCGTGAAGAGTTTTGTGCCTAATGTATTGATGTGTGGCTATTGACAAGATCTAGGGACTAACAGCCACTAACAGGACACTTACATTCATTTAAGCAGGATCTGTACAATGTTTTGGCTTTTTGCACTGCTACTATATCTTCAGTTTTCGGCTCCTCAAGGACACCTGAAATAGGGCATTTAAAATAGGCATCAACACTTGTCTCCAACCTCCAAAGTTCAGCTCAAGGGCTGTGCCTTCTAATAGGCCTTTCCTTGTTCTCCCATTTGTTAGCATTCCCAGATATTATTTTGTATTCATCTTGTATCTGTTTGGCATTACTTACATGTGTATGTGTTTCCAACCAGTGGAAGATAAGCTCCTTGAGGGCAGGGACTATTTTTCTATTTATATCACCTAGGTCAAGCCTAATGAATAGTGCACCTCATAGGGACAAAATAAATTCTATTTGAATTGAAATGAACTAAACTTTACAATTTTAATTAAGGTTCAATGTAAATCTTGTCTTCCTAGACCCAGAGCCAAAGTGGCCATTTGTTTACGTGTGGGTGTATGTGTAGGAACAAATCCACTGCATTTTAATCCTCACTGATGACACGTTTCCCATGAAGATTCTCAAAACAACCCTAAAGTAAAATGGAAAGAAGCCTTGAATATCGAGGGGATTTATGCCTTGGGAGACTTGGAATAAGTCAATCAGTGCCAAGGATGTATTTATGAGGCACCTGTAGCCAGGAAAACCAATAAACAGTCCCTATTTTCAAGGGGCTGATGTTCTCTGAGGGCAATGAAGAGTAGGGAGTTTGAGTGGATGAAGTCAGGAAGACCTAGGTTCAAGACTGCTCTCTGACACTTCCTGGCTGTATGACCCTGGTCAAGACACATTATATCCCAATACCCCAGGTGACTCTTTAAGACCCCAAGTTACGGGACTGAGTTGTCTGTATCATGGGGGGAGTTTACATATTAGAACTTGTCCACATTGAGAAAATCATGGGTCTGGATGAAAATTTTTTTTAAAAGATGGATTATCTTTATTTATAATTTATATAATGTATTTATTTATATAATTTATATTATACTACATAATTATTATTAATTTAATATGTATATTTATATTACAATAAATAATAATACATAATTGTATTTATATAATTGATCCATGTTAAGGAGCTTACTTTTTGAGAAGTCACCAAATATAAAAACTTACTCTTGCACAAAATAACCTTCCAGGAGAAAAAAATAGAGGCCCAAGGATATGCCAAGTTGTGGTACAATGGAAAGTACTCTCCTTCTGGAGTCAGAGGGATCTGGGTTTCAAATTTAGCCTTGAATGCCCACTGCCCATGTGACCTTGGAAATGTCACTTAATTTACCTGGGACTCTTATTTCCTCATCTGCAACATGAAGGCACTGGATTAGATGGCCTCTGGGCTATGATCTAATGATGGGTATATCAGTAACAATGTGGTTCTCACTTAACTGCTCACCTACAAAAGTTTACAACCAAGCAGAAAAACTTGTATGGGGTGAACTAACCAAAGACACGTCAAACGCTATGAAGATGTGTATTCATGCTGGGGGTTTTCTGGGATTGACCCAGGAAATGACCTCTTTTACTGCTTTCCTCTTGAAGGGTGACTGGAATTATGGAATTATTCTTTCTTGAAAATTCCAAAATGGTCACTCAGCTCAATTTTCTTGACTCTTCATTGCTATGATAGGTTAAACATGTGCTCTTACCCACACAGAAGTCCTTCCATCCCCTTGAATGAATACTCAAGAAGCAGAAAGTTCATTGGCTCTACTGTTAGAAGACTTGGGTTCTTCTTTGTAAGACCTTGGGCAAAAAATTAACCTCTATGGGCCTCAGTTTCATCCTTTATAAAATGGGGTTACAGTTGAAATAGTTGGCCTCTAGATCTATGATCTAGATATAGATCTATGTATAAGCCTATACAATTACTATACCTCCATCACTATTCGTCTCCCAAAGCAAGGGGTCCATCCCTCCCAGTTCAGGCTATTCTCCAGGGACTTACATTGGCTGCTAAAAGAAACCTTTGTAATTTGCTCTGTAACTGCCACCTTTAAAAAAATAATATGTGCCCAAAAAGAAGGCATTTGGTACCCAGAAACAAATCCACTGACCTTTCAGGACAACTTCTAGCTCATCTCGTAAAATGTCAAAGTTACTGTAACGTGAGCTGGTCTCTGGAATGACGTTCCGCTTTAACCAGCCTCCGCAGGCATATTTGAAAAAGTCTGTACAAGGGTTGACGGTGTCATCCATGTTCTGAATCAGCCGAGCAGCTAAAATACAAGGGAAACAAATATTTGCATGTAAACATTTACTAGAAAAACAGATGCTATACAGATTTCTGGGCAGCACGTCAGGGGTGGGGGGAGGGAGACGGAAGAGAGAGAAGAGACCCTGAACCTGTGCCTAGGCTATCATCAGTCATGCAGCTCAGATGTTAGCATCAAGTTAGAGAAGCAGTATAATATACAATATAGTCAGTGTTCTTTCTGCTCGGAGAAATCCTGGATTCAAATCCTAACTCAGGTCCTTGCTATGTATGACTTTGAGCAAGTCACTCACTCAATCTGGGCCTCAGTTTTCTAATCTGTAAAATTGGGGAAGGAGCTAGATTACAGAAATGCTAAGGTCCCTCATAGCTCTGTTTATTGCAGATCCTTTCATTCCTCTTATCGTACGAAATTGTCCAAATTATGTGTACGTGCAGACCACGTGGTCCCTTCTCTCTAAATCAATGAGTCTGTGTAAAGTGCCTCCACAGGGCCCCACGATAGAAACTGCAGATACAAGGACATAATAAAAACTGCCCTTGAGGCTTCAGTCTCAGAACCAATAAGCATTTCAGCAGGCACTTAGACCAGTCTACTCAAAGAACGATCTTTTCTACTGAATCCCCAACAAATGATCACACACAGTTTTGGGAAGTATGATCCTCTCAAATGAAGGGAAACACACAGCCTTCCAGAGGTATACAGCCCATTCCTCTTTGGGACAGCACTAATGGCTTGGAAGTTTTTCCTGACAGCCAGACAAAAATCTCCTTTTTACAATGTTCACACAGTGGTCCTAGTTCTGACCTCCAGGATAAATAAGGGAAACAAGTCTAATCTCTCCATTAAATAAACAAATGTTTCATTGGTATTTGAATGTGTGTACATTTATTTATTTATATTTGATTTTTTACTTATTCATTCATTTGTTTATTTATTCATTACTTCCCCAACCTCTTGCAACAGAATCCTCTCTTGTAACAAAGTACCCCAATCCAACTGCAAACCAGTTAAGTTCTTCGTCACCTGCCTCATTTTGTACCTAAACTCTTCAGAGAAGAGGGAGGAGTGTTTCATCACCAATCATCTGAACTTGGCATTGGTCACCATGCTGAGCAGAGATGGCTTGGAAAGATGGCTTTCCAAGGTATTTTCCTTCCCATTATTTCTTTTGTACTGGACAACTCTTCAAATACCTGGTGACAACTATCATCTTCCCCTGGAGTCTTCTCTTCTCCAGTCTAAATAATCCCAGTTCCTTTGATTAGTTTTTTTTGGAATAGAAAAAAAACACTTTAATGTCTTCAATGTATTATTTTTTCCTCTTTTCTATTCAATTTTAAAAATTCTGAGTTTGGCAAACATTTCCATATACAGAGGAGAACAGAAAAAAACATTTATGCACAACGAGGAATCTCTGTTATATACAGCTTGCTTGAAATACAGATATACAAATATGTATAAAAAATAAATTCAAGCTGTTACTTTCAAAGCTGTCCTCCTTTTCTGTGTTTCCTTCCAAGCTTCCTTTTGTTCCTTCTGTTTTAAAAATGTTTCAATGACCTTGTCTTGTTTCTTTTTGGAGGTCTATCTCTAGCTCTGGTGTCACTCCCCCAATTTGACTTCTACCTCAAGGAGAGAAAAACAGAATCTTTGTAACAAATAAGCAAAATCAAGCAAAATGAATTCATACATTTGTCTCATCCAAAAATACGTCTCACTCTCCACCCTTTTGTCAAGAGATAAGCAGGTGACATTCTTCATCGTCAGCCCTGTGGTCTGCATCGATCAGGTTTTAAGTCTTTAGTCTTTATACTGTTGTACCGTATGCTTCTGGTTTTGCTCACTTCATTCTGCATCAGTTGATAAAAATCTTCCCAGGTTTCTCTGACATTACCCTTCAACCAATTCTTGTATGTGTAAACTTGAAGCTTGTTTGCAATTCTCTGGAAGCTCTGCAGCTTGCCAATGCTTTTCCTAAAATGTAGTGTTCAGAACTGAACTCAGTACTCCAGATGAGGTCCAACCAAGACAGAGTACAGAGGGACCATCACCTCTTTATTTCTGCAATATTCTTATGTTTACCTTATTGCAGCTCAAGCTGATATTAATTTTTTGGCTACCATATCATGCTATTATATTTATGTTCTGCTTAAATTTGTTTGCTTCATTTGTCCTTGAGTGTCCCTCAAACCTAAGTGGGAATCACATACTTTTTTTTTTTTTTTGGCAAAGCAATGGGGTTGTGACTTGCCCGTGGTCACACAGCTAGTGTTATGTGTCTGAGGCCGGATTTGAACTCAGGTCCTCCTGAATCCAGGGCCAGTGCTCTACCCACTGCGCCACCTAGCTGCCCCAAATCATAGTCTTTTTAAAAAATTCAATTGTATTTTGTTTTCAGTTCCAAATTTTCTCCCTTCCCTATTCCATCCATTGAGAAGGCAAGAAAAAAAAAACTAACTGCAAATATTTATAGTCATAAGAAACAAATTTCCTCAGTAGCCAGAAATTATAGACTATAGTAGCTAGAAGGAGCAGCAGACATCATCTAGTCTTGGAAAGCAGCAGAGTATATTGAAAATAGCACTTGAGTTGGATTAGAGGACCAAGGTTCAAATACTGTCTCCATTACTTACCACCTCTATACAAATGGGCAAGTCAGTTAACCTCCCTGAGCCCCTGTTACCTCACCTGCCAAGTAGAAGGGAGTTAGACTAAATGGTCTCTAATGTCCCTGCCAGCTCTTTATCTAGTATCTGATGTCCAGCAGTTAGCACATAGTAGGTGTTTAATAAATGTTGACTGATTAGCTCATACCACTCCTTGCTGGCTTCTTTCTGTCTAAAAATAACTCATATTCCCCTCCCTGCCCCTCTCACCTAAGTCTATGATTTAATCTAGTGGGGAACTCTCAGTATGGAAATTCCCACCACAGATGCAGACTGCCAAATTATCTGTACCTTAAAGTTCTTGAGAGATGACTTATGCACTGGAAGGATATTTGACTTGACCTCAGTGATACAGTTAAAGTCTGCCTGACTCCAACGCCAATAGTCTATGCACTATGCCATATGGTCTCTCGATACACCTTTATATAAAACTTCAAGGTTTACAAAGCACTGCCAACTCTACAACCATACCAGGAAGTTCTTGTGCCACCGCCTACACTTCACAGATATGGAAACTGAGGCTCAGCTGGGCAGTAAGACTTGACTGTGTTAAAATAGCTGGTAAATGTTGGAGACAAGATTCCAACACAGGTCTTCTGATGAGAAGTTTAAGGCTTCTTCCACTACGCTGATCTGTCTCAAAGAAATGAGGAGGGTCGATGTCTTGGGTCTGAGCTAGATGGAGCTCAGATTACAGCCTAAAGCAACCTGAGCACCTGAAGGTGAAGAAATTTCACCTTTCCAATGGCCTTTGAGTGACTTTGAGACTCAGCTGGATTTCCTCACTTGGATGCATCCTATAAGATAATTTTTGGTTATAGAGCTATTTAAAAACAGCCACAACATATAATTTGTGTATTAGCTTATATATATTATTTACCAATATAAGCAATTTACCTCATAGGTTTTGGTTTTTGCTTTTTCAGTTCTTCTGCTTATTCAGTGGTCCCTAGGAACTCTTCAGGAAAAAACCAAGTCAAATCCACATATGTACTTAACCAGCACCAACAGGCAAGCCCCTGAGGTAAGTTCTATGGGGGATAGGAGGCAAGTAACTTGGATCTAACTTCCAGATCACCAGCTTCAGGGTGAAAGGGACCTCAGGTGGAAGGAGGGCTTATTCAAGCCTTGATTAGCAACCTGCCAGTTGCCAGGCATTGTGCTAGGTGCTTTGTTGTGGGATCCCATTTGATCCTTACAACAACCCTGGGAGGTAGGGGCTATTACTATTCCCTTTTTACGGTTGAGGAAACTGAAGCAGAAAGAGGGCAAATGAGTTGTCTAGGATCACACAGCTCATAGGGTCTAAGGAAGTATTTGAATTCGTCTTCCTTTACTCCAGGTCTGGTGCTCTATATACTGCATCACCTAGCTGCCTCTAGGCAATCTAGTCCAACAACCCATTTTGCAGATGAGGAAATGAATGAAAAAGCATTTATTAAGCCCTTATTATGTGTCAAGTACTGTGCTATACCCTGGGGACAATTCCTGACCTTAAAGAGTTTACATTCTAATGGGAAACACGTGGGGAATGATGGCTACTTCGGTCCTAAAAGTTCCAGGAATAGTGAGGGGACCCACAGGGGAATAGATGGACACACACCTTCTAAGAACAACAGCAGAGCCAATTTTATCCTGCTTCCAGGACTGGAGGGCAGGAGATGGATGAGGGGAGCCCAAAGCAGCAAGGCAACTGATGAGCTGTTTCAAAGATGGCTGGGCTGGGAGCTGGAAAGGGCAGTGAAGTACTGCTTTGTTCTTACTGATCTAGGGGCTGAGCAGGGGAGTCAGTCACCAATCAGGACAGTGGGGCCTCAGGGCAGAAGTTCCGAAGAAGAAAGTGCATGGATTTGGGGCTGGGCTACAAGGAGGTGTTCAGAAAGGTTAAATGCCTTGTCCAAGGTGCAAGGGGCAATAAACGTTGGAGGCAGGATCCAGGGCTGAGGAAGGTGAGCCTCTTTCCCCGTTCCCTCCTTAGTACACGCTCTTTTCATCCCTTCCAGGAAGACCATTAAGCTTCTTGAGACAATACCTTGCACATACTGGGCCTTAAAAGCTTGCTTCACATCAAATATGCCCATCAGACAAATGGGTTGCTGAAGAGACCACTGAGTTTACCTCACTTAATCTTTCTACATTTAAGGAAACTATGGTGTGTGTGGGTATGTATGTACATGTATATAAACACACATGTACATATACACATAAATACATACATGTGCGCGCACGCACACACACACATATGCGTATATATTTCTAGAGAGGTGAGGTATAGCAGGGTCATGAGACTTAAAAACTAAAAGTCCCACAATTAGGAAGGGGAATAAGAACTCC